CCCCCCCTTTTCGGGTCTCACGTTCGTTTCTTTTTATTATTATTATTATTACTTTTTTTATGTATAATAATATATAACGAATATTGATTTGTGTGATGTCTTCTTTCGGTGTTTCCGCGCTTAACAACGTTTCTCGTTGAACGTAGGAGATTCTTTTACGTGGCTTTTACTATTCCGGTTTCATGCGATGAACTCGATGGCAGAACAGGGTATTTAATGTGAAAAAAGAGAAAAAAAAAAAAAAGGATTGTAACCGCGTGCCAGAACGCAGTGTAGAACTTCATATGGAAGTGAATAAATGAGAGAGAAAATATAAAGAGAGAAAGAGGAGAATGTAATCGAAATTCAAAAGTGGAATCGGCGTAGTACATTTTAGCATCGGTTTGTTTCTGTGTAAACTTTGTCCCGCATTGTTGTTGTTGATTTTTCATTTTTTTTTTTTTTTACATACAAATCATTACACAGTCGTATTGCGTTAAAGGCTGAGTGAAAAAAGAATGCCCGGCCGACTGTTGTTGTGCACTTTTCTTTCGCCGTGTGAGTTTCAGTCGGAACTTCAGTCAGAGAGAGTGAAAGAGAATGCGCGGCCGCGGTGAACGCGGTTCTCCTTTTTCTTTCTTTATCGCCGATCATATTGTACTCGTGCAGGTGTAGGAACGCGCGAAGGAAAGGAACTCGCGCGAGCGAAGCACACACTTCGATCGAGCCGACGACGAGTCGAAGTCAGCTGTCATGATCAAGGACGCGTTGATTACGATTCGTCGCGCGATAAACTGGCACCGCCAATTGCAGCTCTTGCGGATCGCCGAGAGCGTAATCGCGTCGTGCAACGGCAGAGATAAGAATATATGAGAGCGCACGATTCATGAGGTGTGTACGTGCCTTTCGTATTCGCGGCCAAATTTCGGCGAAATTTGGACCGGCCGAGTTTGCTTCAAGGTCGTGCATTAATTCGAATACATTCGCAATACACTCGGAAACAAATTCGTGATTCAATTCTCGCGAACGAAGCGAGAAGAGCGAGAGATTAATACGAGGAGTGCGAATAATTCCGACCGAGTAAGTGTCCCTTCTTGCGTTCACGTAAGCGCGCGACGACGTTCTTCATAACTCGCGTGTTAAATAATAACTTCGATAAGAGAGCGCGCACATTGGAAGTGGATCGATCGACGCGCGAATTAATGCGTAAGCGCAAAACGATAATCCCGGTCGCGGACACACGATAATGACCGAGCGAGCGTCTCGCGCGATCTTCAGGCTGCGTATTATTCGTTTATTATCGTTTGTTATCGTTACGTTATGAGAGAGAGGGAGAAAGAGAAAATACGATACGATAGTTTTATTGAGTAAAGTGGAAGCCGAAGCTTGGCTTGCTATCGAGAATATTTTCGAAACTATGTAACGACAGGAATTGAGATAAAGGAGTGGTGTTAGAAAGAGAGAGACAAAGTGAAAGAGAGAGAAAAATTGTCAAAACGGAAATGTCGCACGTGCAGGCGCGTACGCGTGAGGCGAACTTGGTCGGTGTAATTTGCACGTGACGTGCGAAAAGGCTTCTGGCTTAGTCTTTTCGTTCGAGCGAACGAGCAAGTTGACCGGCCTCTTAGACAAAAACCTAAATGTCAGCATGCAAATTCAGCGTATATACATATGGAAGAGAGAAGAAGAATATGTAAAAAGTTATAAAGTTTGCAAACTTTAAAAACACGGATATACAGATACATACGCGACGTTAGAAGATAGAGTCGTTACGAGAATGTCGTAAGATATCGCGCGATAAGAGGAAAAAATAAGAAGGAAAAAGAGTTGAAGGTGATTCTAATTTGCAGGGTGACATTTTGGTCCATTGCTATGAGAGAAGCCTCAATAGTCGTCGCGTCCGCAAGACCGAGATCCTTCGAGTTGATGTTTTTTCTTTTCTGGTTTTTTTACGAATCGATTACGCGCACTAAAGTTGGAGGATAAAAGAAAGGGAGAGAGAGAGAGAGAGAGAGAGAGAGAGAGAGAAAGAGCCCTCCATCCTCTCGAGATCGACCGTCGTCGGAATAATATCGTTCTCTCATTGCGATTGTCTTTCGTTGTCGATCGAGATAGAGCCCCCTCCCCCTCGATTTTCACTAAAAGCGCTTTGTTAAGAGTCCACGGTTCATACGTAACTATGTACTATACATATATATATACATATTATCTCTCGAAGGAGATGGAGAACACACACGCCCATGTTACATTACCATTATATTTTACTACAAGAAATGCGACACTAATGAATTTATCTCTCTATTAATGTGTGTAACGCCTAATGGAAAAACGTTATAACGTAATTACATGGTAATTAAAGGAAACTAGCACACAGCCGCAGATGGAGAAGTGTATTTAAAGAATGCTACTATCGTCCTTAGAGAGTGTTTACTAGATTACCCGTTACGACTTTTAATCCTTTAGTAAGTCCTACGCGCGCGCGAAAGAAAGAGAGAGAAAGAGAGAAAATGTGTGTGCATGAGAGCGAATGAGAGTGAGAGAAAGAGAGAAAAGAAAGATGCGATCGAATGGCGAGGAACTAAGAATGACACGGAATGACACGAGGAGAAAAGGACGGATGTATATGTACATACATACTTCACAACTACACGCGCGAATAGAGATAAAAAGATATATATGTATATGTAATTTACGTCCAGAGACGAGTTAAGAGTAACTTGAGGCCCCGAGCTCTGAGAGGGATGCACGGATCCCGAAAAAATTGAAAGAAAAGTACAATTGGGGGTGGAAATCGCGAACTGACTTTCCCGCTACGAGCATTTTCCCATTTCGTTTGACTACGAGCGGTTGTTTCTTTCTATTGTTTTTTTTCTACTTTTGAGTGGGTAATTTTGCTTTAAATACGAGATCCGAATATGACAACGATGGTAACGCGAGATTGCGTTGTCGAGACTTAACTCGCCACTGGACTCTTCGTCCGCACGGTGCATATATATGTGTTGTGTGTGTATGTGTGCGTGCGTGTTCGTGCGTGGCGCGTACATCTGCGCGTGTATCGGCCTACCACCATTACTACTACATCCTTAGACCGAGGTACGTGTGTTGTCCCGTAAACGTTACTGCTACGCGCGACTACGTGCACGGAGAAAATGTTGTAGTAAAAAGTTACGTTACAAAATTACACTTTTCCTCCTAAAACATTTTCTGTAAAGCTGGACTATACCGAATTTGTAGCATAAATTACCACAAGAACAGTAAATTCGATCTTTACTGAATATACGATTTAAAGTAACTACAGTGATTTTGTAGCGAAACACGTGTCAAACGAGCATTAATTAATTTGGAGACAAAAATGCTTGGTGATTTCGGTCGCGATTCTACGGTCCAAAGTCACGACAGTTTTGCCGTAACGTCTTCTCCATGTACACCGCGATAAAAAAAAGGGGAGAGAAAAAGAAAGACAAAGAAAAAAGAGAGAGAGAGAGCCGCGCGAAGCCCCCTTTTTCGTTTCGAGATTTTAGGATAATCAGCCTGATAAGTGCGCCCGATGCGCGCGCGGAGATTTGCGCATACATTACACGTATACTCGAGAATCCTCAGAGTCGACGTCGCTCGAACGCTAACGGGAGCGAGGGAGGCAGAGAGACCGGCGCTTTCGGCCACGCGATGCAATGGACAAAAAGCGGAGCGATCACACGCACACGTTCAATTCGACCGATAAACGACGTTCGTTCACGTTGACCGATTCGAGGTCGACCTCGAGGCGATCTCGAGGTGCAGCTTCGAATACACTTTCTCAATTGGTCGTGATTAATAATAGTTGTCTAGCTTTAGACTCGTTGATCATCATTAAATAAGTGAATAAATAAGTAAAAAAAATATATATATATATCATGAATAAATAAATAAATAAATATATATATATATATATAGAAAGAAAGAAAGATGAGACGAATATATATATATATATATATATATATGTAAAAATTTAAGAGCTATTTACAAAGATTAGGTGTTTCGCTGTTGATTTTCCGTTATCATACTCTAGACTCGTAAGAGAGAGGGGAGGTGAAAACGATGAATTAGCGTCGGGCAGCGACGACGTCGACTCGAGGATCGGATTCGCGACGAATACAACAATAAGGATAGAAGGGCCTCGAGATAAACGATATTCTTGCCTCGTCCGTTGAGCCGAGAGCGATATTTTCCGCTTCT